CCCCCCCCCCGGCCATGTTTCATCCTAAAGACTGTCCTCATCAATTGGGGGGAAAAAAACAAATTTTCAAAAAGCCAAATTTGAAATGATGAAGTGAGGACAACAACAAATGCTCTATATATATACATGTACATATTGCTTTGCCCTGTGATGTGATTAAACAAGATACAGAAAATTATTTTAACAATTTTGGGAACCCTCTCGTGCCTGACATCAAAATTACGGCAGTAGCGTAATTCATTCTTGGTCAAGGTCGGTCACAGCAGTTTTCATTTTATTAAAGACAACGCAATTGTGGACTTGGTATGGTACATGTACATGTATCATGATTTTGCAGCTGCGAAAGTTTATATAAATATCGCAGACGTGCACATCCTGTATTTTTCCATTTTCCTTTTTTCTTTATATTTTTTCCCTAACTAGAGGCATTGTTGCTAGAATGCAACCTCAATCCTGCAAAATCCTCCAACTGCCTCCGTGTAAAAATTGCATACAGTCTCAATCCTCCAAAATCATCCGTTATTTCTTGAATGTGTTCCTGAGAGGGGTGAACGCTGCCTCAATCCTTCAAAATCCTCCAGCAATCACTGTCAACACTTGGAGCAGTGTGCAGGATTTCAAGTACATAATCTAGGCCAAAATTTATGCACGGCTGAGTACAAACAACAAGGTCCGGCCCAAGACCCTGACAGAGTGCATCCTTCAAAATCAGCCACCCATTTTTGCCATATAGCCTCAACCCTGCCGAATCCTCCACTTATGCAAGGAAGAATTTGGAGGTTTTGGGAAGGTTAGGATTAATGTTAGGGTCCGAGGATGTTAACCCTCACCCCCTAGTCATTCCTTGGACTACCCTGCTAAATCCAGCAGAGTCCAACCGGAGTTTCCTGCTCAATCCACTGTGCCTTATTTTCAGTTGTCTGCTGAATCCAACAGAGTCCAACAATGCATTGTAATGCAGTTCAGTTGCCTGCTGAATCCAACATTTTGCATTAGGAATGTACACAAGGGGTTTACTGCTCAATCCAACATGCTCCACCAGGTGTATGACGTAGTTGGATCCTGTTGGATTCAGCAGGGTTAGTATATATATACTTGCGCCAATGCAGTTTTCCAAACATTGTCTGCATCTCCCTCGTCAGTTCTCTTTCCCCCCTTCCTGCTGTCCGTATCGCCAGGGTACATGGACATCAGCAAGTCATGTGCGAAACGGTCAGTAAGAGCCTGCCTCTACGGTCTACTGACCAATCAGACGCAGAGATGGGGCAGGTGGTTTGGACACAGGATATTCGATGTGTATTTTTTGTACGGAATATCTCATTCTACTGCAGCTCCTGCTTGCCATATGTACATTAACCTTTTTAGAGATATATGGCAGATATGCAATGGGAGGTCGCTAATTTTGTGGATTAATTTGAGACAAATACAAAAGTTTACCCAAAACCAAAGAGCGCCCTCTATTGTTTTCACCAAACTACAAAATGCTAATGTGGGTTAACAAGTCAATTTGAGTGAATTCGCAGACGGCATCTGAAATTTCAGTTGCAATTTCTTTTCTTTTTTTGTCTGACTCATTTGAAGTTTGTTTGAGAGACAAACCATCTTCAGTCATGTAAAAAAAACATAAGGATACAGGAATGTGAGCCTAGAATGCTATAACATGTACTTGACCTACATGCTAGCCAGAGTTGCTAGTCTTAACTACAAGCCGTGAATGTTATTAGCCTTTCAAGAACAGAGGGTATTATGCTTTGCTTGTGGACAGACTGTCGGTCACTTACAATTTTCGTTACGTTGGAAAATCAAAGGATTCATTTTGAAAAGAATATTATGATCCCCATAAACAGTAAGCGTGTATCCCTCAAATTCATTGAACATAACAACTGAATTAAGGTTTTTTGGCTATATCAGGCATGCAACTTTTCCTCGGATCAGCTGATTTCCTCGTTTTTCACCTCAGACTTTTGCCATTTAAAATTAAAAAACACTGTACAAAGTCCTGTTAGGATTGGTATTTCCTCGTTTTTTGTTAATTCCATGTTGCATGCCTGCTATATACAGATAAATTTTGTACTGTATGTACATGTTTGTACATCAGTATGTAAGCTTGAAATATCAAACAGATAGCCTAACACGACTCCACCCCCCCCCCTTTTTTTAAAAACTTTGACACATGCATCTTGTGAATAAATCAATTTACGAATTTATGAAAGCATCACAGAAAGTAAAGATATGAACTTAAGAAATAAGCACAGATGAAAGACCAGTTTATTTCTTTATGCTTCTACTATTGCTTTAAGCATGCCATTTTATTTTCTTTATTGTCATTTTCTTTAATGCTATGGAGCCCCATGCACAAAATGCAGTTAATACTCACCTTTCAGTTCACTATTAAATTCATCGTCTTTGTCATTCAGTTTATTTCTTTACGCATGTACTATTGCTTCAAGCATGCCATTTTTTTCTTCATTGCCATTTTCTTTAATGCCTTTTGAATTTTGTTTTGTCTATTATGGCCCTAGCTTACTCCATATTAAATTAAATTAAATTAAATTAAATTAATCTTTTTTATGCTTCTTTCAATAATTCACATTCACTGTCCCTGACATTTGCATTCTCGTATTGTCTATGTGTATATGTATTGTATTTTATTTGTTGTTATTGTGTACATTGTTAATTGTGTTATTGTTTTTGTTGTTCAGGGGACTCGCACTCGACAAGCTTGCTTTTTGTGGGTCCCCTGCACCTCTTGTATTAATTACTAGTACATTATTTCTTATCTTATTTGTTTTGACATACCTAATTTATTTTGAAGAATCCTTTTTATATTTTTTCATTGCACGCATTTTCGTATTTTGTCCAAACCCTGTCATTTGGTTGAAAAAAAGGAATGGGCTCATTTATCAATGGAAAGTACACATGGTACGCGAGTATGCACAGTCTTGTATGTTTATGATAATTGCTCGTAATTGATGGACACAACACGGAGGTTTGATTCTTCTCAGGATAATAATTGAACAAAGGCGCCTAGAAAGATACTGAATGTCATTTCATTAATGTTGTAGGTGTCGCCAGACTGCACTTTCGGTTATTTTTATATGTTCCTCATGTATTGTGTGTAATGCAGAAATGCTAAACATTGAAAGACTTCATGTACTGGTATATGTTGGTCGTATGAAAATACAGCATGTTGTGGGCAAATGCTTTCGTAACAATCATGGTCGTTTTTTTACTTTCTCTTCAAGTCTAAATCCAACCTGCTTTTTGCTTTTGTGGAGGGTTCAGTTCTCATATGAAGGAGAGAAACAAAATATCGCTGGGAAAAAAACCTTGCGTTGCCATGGCAACTAATCCCTCCCAAAGGGGACATGTTGGTTCACTGACCAAGGGATACCCTTTGCCTGAATGATTAGATACAGTGTAGTAAAAAAAAAAAAAAACAGTGTAGCCATCGAGGTGAACGAAACACGGCCTGCTCATGCACATGTAATATGATAGTGCATGCGCCAACAGGCTCAGGGTGAGTGCCTTGCGTTGACCCTTCACCTTTGACCTGAGGGGTCGTCGGGGATGATGATGAGCAGGCGGATGTCTTAGGCTGCCATGGGCTGCCTATTGATTTGATATGACGAAACAAGGGTTTAGAGAATGCATATATTAAGGATCTGAAGATCTTTGATTTTCAGCATGTTCTTTGTGTCGACACGTCCGAAGTATTTTGTCGTCTCTTAAATTATTTTTTTTTTTTTTTGAGGATGTTAATAACGTGTGTTTGGCAAAAATTTTGTAATTACACACGTATACTGTAAGTTTATCTGGTGAATACACAAAGGCACATTGGCAACAAAAGCTGCTTCATGCTCATGTTGTGCAGAAATGAATCAAAGCATTACGTGAATCTTCAGCAATACAAAAGGTCTTTTCGAAGTGAAATGAATCAGAAAGCAAGGACGTTCACCCCAAGATGGTTGTGTGCATTCCTGCTGGGATTTATGGGGAAAACTGGGACACAGTTTTTTGTGTGAAATGGATCCGTATGAACTACTTATTTCTTCTTGACGCAGTGTACATTTAGTGTTCGCATGTACATGTACATGTTCATGTGTACGAGCACACAGTGTATACAATGTATACAAGCAACACAAGTACATGTACATGGCATCAGTGCAAAGTCACAGAAAATGTCAGATTATCTGTGGCTTCGTTTGACACATTTCAATGGCTTTAGCATAAAGCCATCGTTACATATGTCGGACAATCAGTGAACATGCGCACTTTTTCCCACTTAATAATTTTAAGGGAGGGTGCAGAAAATATTATTCTTTTGTTGGGCGGAAAAAAACTTGAAAATGCTGGATTATTCCATATTTATAATGCCGGCAAAAAAAACCCCCGGAGGACATGGGGATTAACCCTAACCCACCTCACTCCTCCAAAATCCTCCTGGCGGTTTTGGAGGATTCTAGAGGATTGAGGATGAATGGTGATTGAATCAAATGAGGATGCTGGAGGATTGAGGATGAATGGTGATTGAAGCACATTAGGATTTTGGAGGATTAGGATGAATGGTGAATGAAGCACAAGATGATTTTGGAGGATTGAGGATGAATGCATTTGAGGCAGGACTGTCTGATGATTTTGAAGGATTTGGCGTTGGTTATCCTTCATTTAAACACGAGTGCAAAGTTTTGGGATGAGGAAGGATTTTGGAGGATTGAGGATGAATGGATTTTGAGGCAGGACTGTCTGACAATTTTGAAAAATTTAGGCGGAGTTGAAAATTTTGGAGGATTTTGAAGGATTGAGGATGGTTGTAAGCAACAAGGGCCTAGGGGGTTAGGGTTAAGTGTTCATCCGTATATTTTATTTCTAAACATTGTGTCAATTTAGATCTCCACTGTGTACATGTAGGTATCAATTTGAGCTGGTCGTTTTTTGAAAAAGACAAATATATGTACTTGAAGAGGTGTACTAAGTGTTGTGTATTTTTGTTGTTGCAGTGACGGTGGGCCCATGATGGGGAGACATCAGAACAGCAGCAAAGACGGAGGCAATACCGAGCCATGAAGACCAACGTCAGGCAGAACGGACGGGTGACATCATTCCCACCCTTCCCTGTAAGATAAGCCACTCCCCCATCCTTACATTCATGTACCATACTTCACACCCCCCCCCTCCCCCTCCCCCCTCGGACCCCCGAATACATGTGTAGCATGCTTCAATTAACAAACATGTGACTAGGGATGTATGCGTGCTTGCATTTGTTTAAAAGATCCATCTATTGAAATTTTGGTACAACATGTAGCCTTGGCCAAAAAAAAAAGGTTGTGTACCTTTCAATAAGGTTGTCAACCTTTCCGCTACTCTGCAGCTAGTCAGAAGAAAAGCAAACAGGTTTTCTGTAAACTTACTATACTTACACTTCTAGCATTGTACCTAAAGATCTCTCTCTTAACGCACAGTCTTTAAATTTTTTAGCCGGAAGGCTGTTCAAGGTTTATATGCACCTAGTTTTTAATCTTAAGTTTCCACTATCAAGGTTGACAACCTTTCTGTGACCATGCAGCGAGCCAGATGAAAACAAACAGGTTTTCAGTTAAAATAACTGTCTTGGCGTTGTACATGAAGGTCTTGTTTTACTGGATTTTTATTATTTTTTTTTTGATAGCCAGAAGTTTATTCAAGTGCCTTTCACGTCGAATTTTGAATCCAAGTTTCGTACATCCACTTCTTAACCACATTAATACCATAAGGAAATCTGAAAAATTCAGATACCTTGTTTCCGTCTTTCCCAATCATGGCCAAAACCCTGCCCCGTGTGTTTCAACACCCTAGTACACACAGTGCAGATTTAGAATTGAACAAGAAACCTAGTGCTCACGCGAGAGAGCCTCTGCATCCCATGGTACATGTAAGGTGAATACTAAGGAGCGCTTTGTTTTCCCCGTGCTCTTGATAGATAACTCAGCGTCCACCCAAGGATGTTCAGCCCATGGAGCCGGCAGAGTTTGCACGTATTCTGACCGAGAAACTGGAGAGGGTCCTAAGACAACGAGAGACGGAGGAACGACTCTCGGCGAGGTTACGAAAAGTGGAGGTAAGGAAGAGAAATCAACAACGGTCTCCCCAAGGATAGCCGAGCGTGGTGCTCTCACTACAACTGACTGGAAAAATTGTGAATTTCCCACATGCTGAATAAGAGTGCGCCTCTCTGGAAAACCACTGTGCGTGTATGTGCTGCACTGGCAATGAGCAGTGTTAGCCGGAGCTGAGATGTGTTCAGCTTTGCGGATTCGTAGTGCGAATATTTGTTGTGGCATCATAAGTTCACATTTGTGTTCGCTTTCTTGAGTATGAATCGGCCCTAATGCTTTAAAATGAGCAGTACCGCAAATTGCGAGTTGTACATTGCAAGTCTGCTATGACGTGTACGTTTCCATCACTGTTCTGTGCTCTCAACAACAACAAACACAAAAGACAGAAGATGTATTTTCAATGATTTCCAAGAGATCAGTATATTTTTTTTACGAAGTTGCTCAGACAGAGACTAAAACTTTCAATGAGCAATACATTGTCTGCACATCAGAGATAAAAACTGTTCATGCAAATTTGTAGATTAAATTAATTAGCGTGTCTTTTTGTTTTTAGGAAGAGGAATCGGACCCAGATAGGACAGCCAGTGCATCTGATGCGCCCAGGTTATCGGCGGCCATGTTTGAGAAAGGAGCGTTACCCGAAGACGACCCCAACAGCATTCTAGACGATCACTTCTCCCGCGTGTTCGTGGACTCGGCAAGGCACACGCCGGGGGAGTACTCCCCTCGCTCGCGATCGCCCGAGCGCGTCCACCGGGCTAAGGTAGCTAATCCGCTGAGCGGGTCCATGGTCCAACCGGGAATAAACCCCAAGCAGATGATTCCTCATCATCAGCTGCAACAGCACAACAAGCTCATCATGCAGCGACAGCGGACGAAGGACGCCTACACGCCGGGTTACAACGTGGACCCCGAGATGTCCCTTGCTCAGTACAAACACTTGATGCATCACAAGGCCAAGCAGATCGAGTTTGATGCCGGAGCGCAGAGAACATTAGCCGGGATGACGGCCGAAACGGGCGACTCAATATACCACAAACTCAGAGCCAGGGGAGACAGTATAACCATGGACCTCATAACGGACTCCTCACGGCATGTGAAAACCAAAAAGTCCAGTAAAAAGTCTGATATTTCTTCCATCTCCAAGACGACGGACAGTGGGATATACGAGGGTCCTCCTTCGCTGCCATCGGACAATGAAAGGTATAAACCTCGTCTTACTCATGTATTAACCTCAGGTTTTGTTTTTCTCGAAGGTAGAAAGTTGAGTGCAATACAGGGTGAGTAAAAAAAAAAATGAAACCCAAATGTCGGGACTATTGTTTTAGTGAAGTTCCGCATGTAGCACTATCAAAATCTAGGATATGAAAGCCCAACTCATAAGCTTTCTTTTAGTACAAGAATCATTTCAATTGCTCATGTAATTTTCAAGTGTCCATGGATCACAAAAAGGTAAGTGTTCTTTCAGCAAAACAAAAACAAGTCGCATAGGGATGTGTGTGAATTGTTTCGTTTTGCTGAAAGAAAGCACACCTTTTTTGTGATCCGTGGACAGAACTTAAAAACGGTGGTTGTGTTTAAAATTCCGTAACTTGAAAAGTACATAAGTGATTTGAATGATTCTTGTAATAAAAGAAAGCTTAGGAATTGGGCTTTCATATCCTAGATTTTGAAAGTGCTACATGCAAAACCTCATTCAAACATTGGTCCGTCCATTTGGGTTTCGATTTTTTTTACTCGCCCTGTATAGGTTGATAAAGGCATTTTCAAATTTCAGGCTGGAGTCCAACATCTACATGTAATGCCAGTCATTGCATATTTTTGGTTGGTTATGGTAGTCGGGCTTTAAATTGTTCTTATGTTCATACATCTTTCAACCTTTATTGATGCCTCGCGGGGTAGGTAAGTTAGTCCATCAGTGAGAATGAATCAAAGATTAATGATCGGTCTTGCACTTGCAGGAAGCAACACATCGAGCAGTGGATTGAGGAAGGGGAGAGGTACAGCAAGCAAGTCATCGGCAAGCAGTACCGTCGGACCAGCCACCGCATTTCCCCTGATATCACGCAGACCTCATCCGTGCCACCGCACAGACCAAGGTCAGTAACAAGCGAAATTCGGGAGACCTGGCACACTGTGACCATTTTTTGTGTCGCGTAAACAAAATTTTGAGAGACACTTACCAGCCCTAAATTCTGTACGACCGTACGCACCAGAGATACTTGTGGGGTAACAAACAAAGGCAACGGTACCCCACATGTGCAATCTTTAGAAAAAAGGGTACCCCCACAAGTCTTTAGAAATAGGGATATCTGGACAGCAATGCTCCTACCCTGAACTCCCATCCGCTGGAACGTCCGTAGACCCGTATGATAAAGTTTTGAAAAAAATGTATAACTTCTACATGCTTTCATGGATTTTTGATAAAACTTGGATGCAGTGACCCTTGGGTGGGAAGACACAACTCTTCATCGGAGTACTGAACTGAGGTCAAAGGTCATGTAGGGGTCATTAGAGGTCATTCTTCAAATGTGCTTCGACTGTTTCTTTGTCTACTGAATTTGATGGATTTTGATGTAACTTGGGGCAAGTTCGCGCAAGGACTATAGTTAACCATTGGTCGACTAACGCTTGCCCGAACTCTGTCTAGTCGACGATGGTTAACTACGCTAGTCGACTATTTGGAACCAACCTACTGGGGCTGGTTGCATCGCTGGTAACCATAGCCGCGCACATTCGTAACATACAGCAGGGAGCCAGGATCCAGACGTTTTGCAATGACATTTTGACCAGCGTTCGACTAGAGACGTTCGCACTTTGCTATTAGTGTGCAGGCGTAAGGTACGTCACAAATCAACCACTAGTCGACTAATGGTCCTTGCCCGAACTTGGCCTTGGATGGAGTGATGCTTGGGTTGGGTTCATCACAAGTCGTCCGAAACTGGAGGTCATTTGAGGTCGTTAAAAAATTCATTTGTTTCGCTGTTTCAATATTTTATATTTTACACTCGCCCACAGTATGCCAAAGAAGCCCGTCGCCTACAACACCTCGCGGCCCAACTCCCAGGAGCGGACGCACTGCCTGACCAAGGTGCTACCCCAGCGCAGCTCCCCGCACCTCCCCACCCAGCCCATCATGCAGGACCCCAGCATGCCCGTCAATAAGCCCCCCGAGCCCCTCACCGTGCTGGAGGAGGTGCGGCGAAGGATAGACGTCTCCAGCAAACAGAGGCAGAGGTAATGTCTTGCAGGATAGTTTGTTTTTTTGTCCCAATGTCTGTTCACTCTGAAATGAGCACCACCACTTCAAAAGGCCTGAGCCTTGAATTCCCCCCAAAATAGCACTCGTAGTACATGACATCAAATTGTTACAACCCAAAAACTCTGAAAACTTGTTATACACACACATGCAATGTTTGATATTTGGTATACACATATGCTTTGTCTATATCTTGAAGAACGAACCAGCTAGCCACTTTTTGAGTGTTGAGGAAAAAGTCTCCATAGTTTCTACAGTTTCTCCGTAAGTGAATCTGCAGAAGACAATGTCTATAGTTGCATTATGATTCTCTGAAGATTCGTGTTGCTGGACTTGACCGGCTTTTGAATTTCCGTCCTTGCAGGCATTCTGATGGCGTCCGCAAGGAGAGGAGACCCACCAGCGGAAACCCTCCAACCCGTGTAACCTCAGCGCCTGCCAAGATGGCTCCAGTGGTCTCGCCAGATATGATGGAAGACCAAGGGTAGGTTGCAGGGCACATGCCAGTTGAACTTCACCCCCAGACCCCTACACCCCCTAAGAATCTTTACCCCATCCCCAAAGTACTCCCTTAAAACCTTTACCCCATCCCCAAAGTACCCCCTTCGAACTTTTACCCCATCCCCAAAGTTCCCCCTTAGAACCTTTACCCCATCCCCAAAGTACCCCCTTAGAACCTTTACCCCATCCCCAAAGTACCCCCTTAGAACCCATCCCCAAAGTACCCCCTTAGAACTTTTACCCCATCCCCAAAGTACCCCCTTAGAACCTTTACCCCATCCCCAAAGTACCCCCTTAGAACCTTTACCCCATCCCCAAAGTACCCCCCTTAGAACCTTTACCCAGTCTCCAAAGTACCCCCCTTAGAACCTTTACCCCATCCCCAAAGTACCCCCTTAGAACCTTTACCCCATCCCGAAAGTTCCCCCTTAGAACCTTTACCCCATCCCCAAAGATCCCCCTTAGAACCTTTCCCCCATCCCCAAAGTTCCCCCTTAGAACCTTTACCCCATCCCCAAAGTTCCCCCTTAGAACCTTTCCCCATCCCCAAAGTTCCCCCTTAGAACCTTCCCCCCATCCCCAAAGTTTTACTGGTCTCGCCTTGTTTCTTATGATCAGTGTTTGTCGTGTCCGTTGTCATTAATATGATATTCACAAGTGGGCGATCCAGCCTTTTTTAATATCCTTGACAGCGCTTTTAAGAGCTCATTGAGTAAACCCAACAATGTATTATTAAAATCCTATACATCGTCTAGTAATGGTCAAGAAGATTACAGACTAGGAGTTTTACGATCATTTCTCTGAATCATTAATTAGATATCATAGTTAATTGGCTGTGTCACCACATTACACTTCCTTTCATAACTCTGGAATTACCCAAGTGGAAACTGTAAGGCTTTCATTCAGACAACAGAGGCTCTCAAGAAATACAGACTTATCTGATGACCAAACTTAGTGGCTATTAATAAAGTGGGTCCATATTGCATACAGGTTGTACACAATTATTTGGTACTCCTTAATAGGTGTTTCAAATTAAATACAATTTTCCTCAGACCAGCTGATTTCCTCTTTAATTCCCATTTCTGTCATTCAAAAAAGAAAAACACTGTACAAAGTCTTCTGAATTTTGGAATTTCCTCTCTTTTTTTCGTGAATGTACAGTTGCATCAGTACGGTACACTATCGCAAGCAAATTTTGAAGCTTTAAGTCTTGTAAGACACCCAATCCCTTTCATAAAGAAAAAGGTTTCGAAAAGTTAAAAAAAAAAAGGCGTTGCGAGACCATAAGTGGCTAACGAGCGGATATTAAACTCATTTTGTGCCTCGGTGTGTTGCTAATGTATGTGATGTTTGATGGATGCGAAATACACCAGAACAGGACATGTTTGAAAGCGTGTGCCTTTAAGTGTGTGGCTGGATAAGATTTCTCTATTGTTCGGGAAGGGAAATTAAAATCCAGGCTTTTGTTTGATACGAATGTAGCATGTGCATGCCCAAAGAGGTCAGTTGAAGTGGGTCAGCATACCGGTACATGTGTTTACTCCAAAGCATTCATGTCGTTTCTTTAAAGTCACTGTCTCTGTACAGGGTGGTCCTAAAAAAACGTTTCCACTTTTCCAGACGCAGATTTCTTGGAATTGAGGAGACATGTTAAAATTGTTTCAAGATATTCCTTGACTGCAGCATCTTGGTGGTATATGGTGAAAACAGCGCTGAAAATGAAGCCTAAATTAAGAAATGGCGATGGTTTGAAGAAAGATGGTCAAACACCAGTTTGTCCACATGCACGTCTATGAGATATTGTCAAAACAATAGCACTGCACACACGAAGAACTGCAATGATTGTACTTAGGTCTACATGACTGCCATAGATGTGGACAAACTAGTTTTGGACCATTCTTCTTTAAACGGCCGCTATTTCTTAACTTGAGCTATATTTTCAATGCCGTTTTTACCATATACGACCAGGATCTTGTAGTTCAGGAATATCTTAAAACAATTTCAGCATGTCTCTTCAATTTTGCGTGCTCATCTGTCATCCGTTCCGAACACCGGAAAAGCTTTGCAACTGTTTAAAAGGCTCTGTCACGTACATTACGTAACCCTGGAACTGCCCATTTCAGCAACTATAATCTCCCAAAACACATATTTTTTTATAAATATATTTTTTAACTGGTAATCTGTTTCTCTGATTACGTTCACAGGAGGAAAAGTGGGTCCAAGCAGCGCACCTTTGCCCCGCCGGACGGTAAGGAAACAATGACAACGACGGTAGCCTACTACTTCTGCAACGATCCCATCCCCTACAGGACCACACTACCGGGCGACAAGATCACGTTGGCCCAATTCAAGACTCTCATTTCCAAGAGGGGTGACTACAGGTAAGCCTTAAACGAATCAATGATGTCATTTTCGACAATGCAAACAAATTCCTATAAAATTATAATGCATTTATATTCTATTTCCAATATTTTTTAACGCTTTTTCTACAGTGTTTTATTATTTGAATGTCGAAGCAAGATTTTTTTTTTGGAGAAAATCCAACATTCAGTCTGGAGCTTTAAAAGATCCACCGCCTATCTGTTATTGTGTTGTGTGCAGGATGAAAATGGCTTAACAAAGCCTGAAAAAAAATTTGCTGAAGTATTGAAAAATCAAAAAGCAGTCAAAAGCCTTTGCTTTGAATAAGAGCTTTTGAACAGAATTTAGATACGAGATGTGTATCTCGAATATCAAAGTCTGTCATGTATGTGACATGCCAGCTAAATTAAGTAATCATTGCAACTTCGCGTGTAATGCGAGTTTCGATCCTGCATTGTTCAGCTGCAGTATTATTTTAGCCCAGTGCTAGTAATTTGACGTCTGAGTCAGAAATCTGTCTTGCGGAATCATCCCTGTCATCCCGTTCAACTGCCATCCGAGCCCATGCATAGCTCGTGGCAGGAAAAAAAAAGAAAAGCATCTATCCTGACTCCACTTACTTAATTCAGGTCTAAAAAGCCTCGCGCGCTGTCAGTTACGATTTGACACCTCGGCACACCGGCGTGATCGGGATCACATTAGGCGCACGTCCCCTCCCAGTTGTGGCCATTTTGATGTCCACTGGATTGAAGTTCATGACTTGGGATGTACTGGGAAGCCCCGGGGTTATCCATCATGCTTGACCGGACTGTCCTGTCCGTTCCCGGTGGACGTCCGCAGCCCGTCAGTGGTCACTCGCGATGGACAGTTGAGAGGAGGATATCTCAGCATCATTTTGGAGTGTCAGATTAACGTCTCTCAGGATAATACGCATGTTTGCAAGGCTTTTTTTCTCTGGTTATCATCTGATAAGACTGATGTGCTGAAAAACTCTGAGGTTGTTGGTAATTGTCAAGGTTGGTGGCACTTCTGATGTTTCCGGTACCATATAAAAATGATATACTTGACAGTGCATTCTGGTCCATTTGGTCTGATGTTGGAAAAATTACACTTCGTTGTCTGATTTGTTTCTTAAGTCTTGTCTAAATGAGCTGTTGTGGAACAACAAGAGAAGCACAAAAGCAAGTCTATTTTTTTTCTCTTTCATGAGAAATAATTCAAGTTGGCATTGATTTTAAGTGCCCCTTTAAAGAAACAGAGGATGTGCTTTACATGTTAAATGGAACTTGACTGATGAGCCATCTATTTCTGTCCAGCTCTCCCCTGCACATGTAATTGCCCTGACTGGGCCAAGTGATTTTCACACCGTCCTAGCGTGTCGCAGCTAAGGAGAAATACTAGAGTATTTTGCTGCCCGACCCACGTGGGGGAACTGGAAGGTGTTCGGAGTGTGAAATTTGATATCTCCGTCTCATGCTGCAGTTACCTTGGCTTCTTAGTTCAGCTCGCACCCCTTCAGGGGCCTACCCTTCTTGTATCTGAAGTCAAATTATATCAGCGCCTTGTTGGCTCAAGAGAGATTCAGCTCAGCAGTGACTCCTGGTTCTCTGTTCCAGGCCATTTTTTTTTGGGGTGGGGGGGGGGGGACTTTGATTTGGTTGGATTAACACTCTACTGTCCGGTGCTGGGCTTGGTGGTAGTCGATGCCCCGGGCAACAGTGTTGAGGTCAGGCTTGCCGGGGTGTTGCTTTTGTGGCCAAGATGTTATTTTGGGCTGATGAGAGATGAGATTAAGGCCTGATGGAATTCTGGGGCCTCTATATACAGATGGTACCCTGGTGTCGCTGGTAACCAAATAGGCTAGGTGCCGTGCCACATGTATATCTTCAGTTCTCGTTAAACATTTTTTTTAGGGGGGGGGGGGTCGACTTGGTCCAAATCAATTTGTTTGCCATGTTCATTTTGGTGTTTTTCTTTTTAAGAAATTCCACAGAAAAAAAAGAACAGAACTTCGAAAAGCCTTCATCATTTTGGGGTTTATTGGTATTCTTGTATTTGAAACAACGATGAATGCCTCATAAAAGGAGTTTACCCTTTCAGTTCAAATTTACTTGCAATTTAATGCATGTCTCTTTCGTAAATTCCAATCTGTTTATGATTTTTAAAAGCACTCCAAAAAAACTACATTGTAATCACCATTAAACTAATATGATCATTAATTTGAATCTTCTTATTTGACAGTGAAATAGTAAATGCATACTGTGTTGTAGTACCGAAATCACTTCATTGTCCCGACCCTGCTGTGATTATATTCCGTCATGCTTTAAGGTCAAGTTAAAAAAGCAATCACATCAAAAGGCAATTTTCCAAATGAACGTCACAGATTTTAATACCCTAATGTACACACTACTGACCAACGTTCTCATGTAGACCTCTTTGATGCGGTGCTTTTAGAAAACAAATAATAAGTCTTTGTTTTGAAGCAAGGTTAGAATCGCATAACCATCGACTTTAAAACCGTGGCAAATTCACAGGAGTGAAGATAATCTGTAATCAAAACACTCAAGGGAAAGCATTTTGGATTGGAATTGGCCGTGTATTGGGAGAGCCTTGGTTAAAAAAAAAAAAAAAAAAAAAATTCGCGAGACGGGAAGAGTTCCGTAAGCCGACCATTTGGAGAGATGTTTTCATTGTGTGATTACCTCCTTGGCCCGCCTCCTTCCGGAATTATCGCCGCCAGGATGCTTCAGCTGTCTCCAGGGAGTTTCTCAAGCGAAGCCTGCGGCCTGTGCTCCGTGCCTAGGCCTGGTGTTCTAGCATCTTGAAGTCTTGACTGAAATGCTCACTAAAAACTTGGAGAAAATAATCTCAATGTGCGCAAACAGGAAATGGCTTTCAAATTATAAAACAAAACGTTGCAAGATTTATGATGTTTTGCCTGCGTAATATTTTCTGCTGTCTGCAGCTTCCACTTTCCACTTAGTATAAGTAAAAGAGATTTGCATGTAGGTAAAATGAGTGGGATTGGCTTTCATTTCTTGCCTGCCTCCCCCCCCCCCTTTCAAAAATAAATTTCCCTCTTTAGTGAGATATTACCTTCCGAGGTAAAAAAAATAAAGACCAGTGAGGAAAAAAAAAAACAAGTAGATAATTATGTTGAAGTTGATAATTGTTATGTACAAAGTGTTTATAAAAACAATAATGGTTTTCTATTTTGTGCGTCTCTCAAAAAACAAACAAAAACCACGGCGTGGAAGAATAACGAGACATTATTTATGTGTTCTGGCTTCTCAACCGATGTCACAAATTGGGAAGACAAGCAGAGGAAGCGTTGTTGCCTTTGCCTGTTTTTCGCTACATTGACTGATCAGATTGATGGGGCGCCCTCAGGGGGTTTATTCTTGAAAAAGCAGGGCGTCCACTACGCTGTGTCGTGTCGTTACTCCGGGCCGCACTGGCTAAAGATGCAATCGTCTTGTTTTGCTTGCCACTTCAGATTCCCGATCGGAGGGATGTTTAGAATTAATCCGAGTTCTCCTGGGTATTTTAGACGGCAGATTGGATGGAGAAAAAGGAAACAAATTGTCTGCTTTTTCAAGATCCTGTTGGGCTTGTTGGGTCTGATGATGAACAGTATCTGTCCATTTTTGTCTGTGTTTTTCGGATAAATAAGAGATATACTCTTTGTTATTAACAAGGCTCTTTTTTGATTTTCGAAAAAGGCAAGGTATAGCAGCCAGCTTTTGATACAGCAAAACACCACAAATACTGATTCTCAGGGTCATTTCAACAGTATTTTTAGCGTATTTCTTTCCGCAACCTCATATTTTTCAACACTCTGGGGTGTACCCACGGAGCGTTACTTGTACCACAACAGGCTGTGCACAGTGACCAGGTTCATGTACATGTACAACACACAGTCCGCCTACACAGATTGTTTGGACTTCGTTTGTGTGTACAAAACAAATGGGGGATTAGTGTGTTTAGACGTCGTCCGGAGGCGTGTCGAGGCACACTTGACATTTTAAGGGAAGTTATACAATTGGAAAAAATTAAGAATGTTTCTCATCGAGAGTTCAAAATGGTTGCTACGGGTATAGTACTTTTGGCCGTCCACAGAAAGAAAGCCGTGCCTGTGTATAGAAACGGCCAGATCGCGATAACACACCGTCCATTGCGAAGCGGTTAACATCACATCGTGACAATTGTGTTACAAATTTCAAACCATAGCACACTTGATAAATATATAAATGAAGAATCCGGAAAAAAAAAGAAGTATACATGTACCTCAATCATCCTGTGAAATAAACCACATTATTTACAATTCCCCCGAATTTGTTTTAAAGTACAGAATTTAAACACTCCGTGATGAGCTTTTCAATATTCAAATAAGGGAAAGTACAGAAAGGGTTTAATTTCAGTTGCCTTTCAATCAGTGTGGAATAACGTGAGTTGAGTTATCCAATCAGCCGGGAACTTAGAGTAAACAGAATAAGTGGTCTCTATTCCCATAAGTTCCTCAAAGGAGATTTAGGGATAACGTTAATATTCAGAACGCAGTGCGGTTTACTAGCATGCCTTATGAATCTGGGACTTGGGCCGCTTTTCAGAGAGAATATATGCTTTGGAAGGAGCTGTACCTTTAAAGCCGAGTAGTACAGCCCAGTACGTCAACTTCTTGTCGGCAATGCATGGAGAAGAGCTGCAGAAATTTTGCTATGACTATTTACATTATAGATGTTAGAATCGTTTCAATTTGCCAGAGATTATCAACACGGCATGATGAAAAGTTGCAAAAAAAAGAGTAAAAACTAGAGACTGATTCCGCGACAGCCATTCTCTGAGATAGCACCAGGCTTGGGCGAGTTGCGCTCATGTAGTTCACACGCACTCCGTACGCCTTTGATCAATGGGGTTAACATAATGCGCACACGCCTCGTCTTTAAGAATGCGCGCGCGCGGATGTGGCTCGACCTAAAAAAATGGCTTCTAATGTTGTTTGCCAAATTAGTCTAGTCGCTGTTAACTGGATCAGCTTCACCAAAACCATAATTTCCTTATTCTTGTGTGTTGTCCATATGCAGCTCAGCCTCGTGCTTTTCTGTCAAATAGAGGATTTGCATATGATGCAGTGACTTCAGCGTAAATGCAGATGTAATTACCTTCACTGCAAATAGTAAAAACAAACTTGAATTTTTAAAACCAATATGTGTCTATGCAGAGTTGGCCCCAGGTCACACCGCCCACTAGTCTCTTAGTACTTTCCTCATCTGTGGCTTTCGAAACAGAAACGCTAGGCTTTCTCTGAGCTGTTCCCTCCCCTGCTGGTGTCCTTTTGATGGCCGCCGCCGCCCCCCGGCGTGTCATCGGCAACACCAAAATTACCTGTAATTGGTGCCGCCCAAGACTGGACAGAACCGCCTGAAACTGGAAACCGCTGCACTCTAATTGGCCGGTCGGCTTTGACATTCTGGAACACACACACACTCTTGATTTGAAATGTGTGTAGTGATGATGCACCCTGGGTTGGGGACCCATGTGGAGGGAACAGTGGTTGCCAAGGCGGCCATCTTTGATTGTCTTATTTTGCTACAAAAAAAGAATTTGCTGTGGCCCTTTTTTAAGTCAGCGCCTTAGGAGCTACAGTTGCAATTGGCTGCCGCACCTGTCAGGGACATCTTATTTCTTGTCCGTAATTTTTTTTTTCTTCTCTCTAGCCTCGGGGCTACATCACAACTACATGTACCCGTAGAAGTTGTTGTGACTTATGTTAAAAAATTTTTTGCGGTTTTCCTCCAACTTTTTTTATTGACCTTCTGGAATTCCACTAGGCAGGGGATATTTTCAGAAGAGAGATAGGGGTGCATACCTCAGTGTGTGTGTGTGCGTGTTGTGTTTATGCACATGTAAATATATATGTACATGTACATGAAGTTGAATACATTGTTAGGGATCAAATGTCTATTATTATACTTCAGTTATGCTAAGTATTTTATCCCCCCCCCCCCCAAAGAAAAGGGAGGGGTATTACAATCAGAGAAATTTGACGACCAGTCATATAAATTTTGTGTTTTTTTACTGTTTTTTTTGCCGAACAGGTATACCTTTAAGACGCCCAGCGACGAATTTGACACGGGAGTTGTCCACGAGATCATCTCGGACGATTCAACAATTCTACCCATCTACCAGGGCAAAATCATCGGCAAAGTGGAGAAGATCGACTGAATACGGTTGCCAGCACCCGACGATTTGCCCGAAAAATTCCAAACAGAACTACCCCAACCGTGCCAACAACCGCCTGACGTTGCAAAGTGAAAACTGTCGGCATTTTGTTTAACAAAATTAAACCAAAGGTGAAACCGTACTGTTTTTTTTATGATCGTATGCAAACTCCTCCAAAAAAAAGTAGACTTGAAGCATTAACATGTGGCAGTTTCTGGTTTGAATGTGCCAGAGCTGGAATTTGTCTACAAAATTGCTGCAAAATATCTCAGCTACTTTTAACTACATGTACAGTACTTAAAATATTCAAATACATCTCTATCATGCCAGTCGTGTCCAGCTCCTGTAATACAAGACATTGACACAGCATTTGTGATGCGATCAAGCTAAATGAGTCGTTTGTCAGGAAGTTTCATTTGGAGATACAGGCCAAAATAGGACCACTTCATCACATCACTTCATCACATCTCTTGGTGTTCCAACTTCCATAATCTTTGAACTAAAGATGGTATCAGCATGCGGTTTTCACAGCAGTAATGCTGAGATTGTGCTCTTTTCAAATCTGTAACAAACAAAATGTTGACCAGGGTCGACAAACGACTCATGTAGCTTGATCACATCACATTTAATATTTTGTCATACCCACAGACTAGGCTTAATTCTGCATCACTTTTGTTCTTAAAATGAACAGTAAACCATTTGTAATTTGTGCTTTTTTGTTATCGTTTGAACCCAACAAAAATGCTCAAAATCTGAAGGACGGTTAATAACTAACCCGATGACGTTTTAGCTCCGTGAATGCTGTACATTTCGAGGAAACAGAACAAACATAAACACAGATATTGTGGATCTCGATTTCCATTCCAAAGTTGCCGCGTCATATTTTGAACTGCGCCCTCTTGTGATGCATTCCCCAAACCAGCATTCGGGACACGATTCTCATTCAGCTGGTTGTCGCCCATTCATGGATTCGCCCAATTGCAAACCAACTACAAATTATAATGCCTGGGGGTGGCTTCACAGAAATTCCACAAATGTGTCACTTGACACATCTTTGGAAATGACCTTCTTTTGTTCTTTTCTCCAAAATGACAGCATGCCAGATAGAATGATTTCGCAGGGAGTTTAGTGTCATTACTATCTTTAAACAAGTAAGCTTTCCAACATGGATTTGGTAGGCTACTTTTTGGATAGCTGCAAAATACTCTACCTTTAAACTTTTGCAAATCCCTTGCAGATAACTTATTATTTTCTCCACACCAGATACACATTTACGTTTATATTTCTTGGCACAGAAACTCTAAATTTCAACAAATCGTTGAATATGTTGAAGAATTGAGCAAAGAGAATGAGCTTGTTGACCCTATACTGTGGTTTTAAAAAAAAGGATTATACTAAAGAAAAAAAAAGTTGGAATTGTGTCTACCTCAGATTTCTTAACCAGTAGAGTGACAGCTAAAAAACTGTTATCGTTAAAGACAGCATTGCGAAGAAATTATGACCGTCTACTTAGTGATTAGAAGAGATTGTATAAAAATATTTATTGTGTATTTTTAAAGGCCCCCCCCCCTCGTTATTAGGAGCATGTTTGTGGTCTATACTTCCAGATCATGTCCCATTGAGCTTTTAACCACACCCTCCTAAGCTGTTTTTATTACGAGCTTTGTCCCCCTGTAATTTATGCGTACTTATTAATAGTTAAACTTACAAAGCCTCTATAAAAATTTAAAATCCGCGATGAGAGTTATTTAAACAATCAGGAGGCATTTTTCAGGCAGCCAGGACTTGTGGAAGTTTAGGCTGCTTGTTTGCCTACGTGTATATTTGATACAAAGTCTTATATTCAACTGCCAATTTGTACAGATAAACGACTAGACTTCCTTTTGAAAAGTCTGGTGTTGTTTTTTTATAGATATAACTTTAAAAAGAAACATTGTAAAGTATTATTAAGCTTGTTATGATGAACGTTTTGTTGGTTGTCGGGAGACGCAAGGTTGTCTGCTTGCAGTTGACGTGTTCAGATGTGCGGTGAGCGCGTTGAATGCCTGAGACTGCGAGCAACTGAAATGGCGCGTCTTGGCATATCCAGCCGGGCAGTGATCTGAAAGTTGACTCTGTACTCTTCCATGCTTCCCCGGTTATGTTTCGTTCCAAACCCTTATCTCATCTGTTCTGTAAAATCATAAAATGTGTTGTCTGGAAAAACGAACAGGCTCAACTTTGTGTGAAATGACTGGGATATTTTTCAAAATTGGCCAATTTCTACATGGAACAAATTTGGTCTGGTATTTTTGTGGAGCAACTCTGTAATCTAAGCCCAGTGTATTCGGCTCGAATAAATTTGTCCAATTGGTAAATTTGATCAAATATACATAACACCCGAACAGGGAATTCAAATGAAAAAAAATTCACTTTCTAGTGCAGGTTTCATGTCTTTATTAGCTTGGATGCCATTTCAGCCTAAACTCATTGAACACTGGACACTTCCTTCCATTTCTGCAAACTTGGACAAAATTGTTCAAAATGTCAATTTTCCCTCGGAAATTCATGACGGAAATTACGCCGTGGGTTTTCTTTTGATAAATATCACTTAGTGAGACTTACTGATGATAAAACCTAAAGAATAAAAAAATATGAATAATACATGTATATTCCAAATGGTGTAATGTCTGAGAAGTACATTATATCCAACTCGGAAACCTGCTTACAGTGCGAACACATAAAGGTGTTCTTAATATTGTGGGAAGTGAGCTGAAAAACTCCTACATCCAAAATTCAATTCATTGAGACATAATGACGTAATGGCTTTGTTTTACATATGCACTTTCCGATGGAAGTGAAGTCGGGACGCCAGACAAAGTGAGGACCCTCTACTACATAGGAAAGCGCACATGTAAACAAAGCATGACATCATTATGTCTTGGGCCTATTGTGAGTGCTGGTACAATGCGTAATATTCACGCTGTCAACAATTCCATGTGGCATTGATCATTTTGAAAGACCGAAACCGCTTTTGATCCAAATTGGCTTGACTCGACAAACTGCTTTGAAAATCTCACCCGGTATTTTTTGCTGTGTTTAGTATTGGTGAAAAGCTCCAAAAACTGAATATTTCCAGAACAAAATCAAAACCCGAGTAAATGATTTGAGATTTAATGTGTTGAAAAACAGTACTGCCACGTTTCAACATCCGAGTGTATTTGATCTTAGCCTTAAGTCAAGGCCCACGCGGCTCCTGGACACGCACCCCGAATGCTGGCACGTAAGGAGACTACAGCATGAGGGCAAAGCCGCTTTGCCGCTCGTGCTAGTCTTACGTGCCAACTCTGGGGTGCGCCACGTGTTCGGGTAGCCGCGTGGGCCTTGGTTAAAGGCTAATTTGATCTGGTCTTGTACTAAGCAAAGCTCTTCCTTTCAAAATTTACAATAAAAACATCAGGCATCAGTGGACAAAGATTCCTTCATCGACTTCCCTCAAAGTGTCAAAGCAGTTTTCACCTCTCCATGCTGAATATTGTGTCGGATTCAATTAAGTCTTTATACTTGTAGATATATACATAATTTCTTTACGTTGCTTTTATGAGCTTTTTTTTCCCTGTGTTTTTACTGACATGTACTGCATGACACTTTGTCGTGTGACGTAAATTTGTTTTGTTTTCTGCAAACTGTTGTATACATGAAAAATTAAAGAATATTATGTGCTATATTTTTAAGAAACAAAACGGTGACTGTGTGTGTTTTCTTTAGCCTGTCGGCCTCAGGAAGCGTGGTTAGTGATTTTTTGGGCACTCGTTAGGATGTTTTTTGTAAACTTTGTGCACAGAAGAATTAATTTTTTGCCTCTTTGGGAACTGCCCTGCGTAAACGGAGCACTGTGGTCCAACGGTTACGGTGTTCGACTCGTGTGCCATGGTACGTGGGTTCGAATCCTGTCGGGGAACATGGTGCTTGTGTTCTTGGGCAAGACACTTTACTACAATTGTCTCCATATAGGAGTATAAAATCTGTGAAGTTTGAGACCGGGGCCAATTTCATGGCGTTGCTAAGCACAAAAAAATATGCTAAGCACAAAAAAGTATGGCTTATAAAAGCAGGTCACCAGCCAAAGCTCCATGTGATGTATATTGCTCGTGATTAGCATTGAGCTGTTGTATGCTTTAGCGTGAAAATCACATGGAGTTTTGGCTGGTAACCTGCTTTTTATAAGCCAGACTTTTTTTGTGCTCAGCAAATTTTTGTGCTTAGCAGCGCCGTGAAATTGGGCCCTGAATGCGCTGATCTCAAGCTGCTGCAAAAAGTGGTCTCATTGCCCAACGAACAGGGGTTATAACAAAATTGTGAAGTGCTTTGAGACCTGTGGTAAAAAGTGCTAATCAATCACCACATTATTGCATTATTATGTTTTCATCGGATTTGGTTTGTTTGTTGGTTGGTTTGTGTGTTAACAAGATAACTCAAAAAGTTATGGGCGGATTTGCATGACAGTTTTTTTAGGGGTGGTCCTTAGTACAATTACAAATCGATTAATGTTAAAAGCGATCTAGATCTGGGTCTGGATCCAGGATTGTTGAAGGATTCTTCACCACTTATGCGAGTACATGTATTTCTTTTGGGTGTACTGATAATATGGCGGGAATTGATTAGCCTTGGCGGAGTTTTGCGCTCTCTGAGTGCTTTCTATTTATGTAATAAACGGCCATTGAAATTTTGAAGAAAAAAAAGTGGGGTGGTCTCGTCCCCAGCGCCCTGGTAACAAACCAAAGTCTTATGGGTTGCAGACCAGTAAATGGGCCCCAAATTGTTCGAAATCGGTAGTGGGCTTCACTAAGGACTGTTTTGGGGTGTGCATGCAAGGGCGGATCCGGAGGGGGGGGGGGGGGACGGGGACCATACCCCCTATAAAAAAAAAGAAACCTATTTTTTTTTTAAAGTGGCGTCGCAATAAATGTAGGCACTGCGTACACCACCATCTTTTCCTCCAAAGGATTTGGTTAAAGTGGTCAGAAATAGCCTCAGATCGCACCACAGAGCATCTAGAATCCAACAAAAATTCGGGGCCCTTTAAGCGGGCCCCGAACCCCACGCCGCAATTTTTTTGGGACCCACCTTTTGGGGGACCAAAAAATGTTTTGCCCCCCTCCCCACCAAAAAAGAAATTGTGTTCTGGATCCGCCCCTGTGGGCATGGTTATCATTGGGACTATAGGCTGCTGTTTTAGAATAAGGATGAACATTGAATACGAACTATATAGATAAGACCCGAAAACGAAGTTGTATAATGCCCTTGCACTGCAAACGTCTATGATAATTATGTGAGCGGACTCGGTGATTATGCAAAACAAGACTGCGTCTTGACCTCCATATTATGACCATTCAGCGGGCGCCCTTTATTGGGTCTTCGGTAACTTGTTGCTGAATTACAAAATCATGGCGGCTAATTGACCAATCAACAGCTTAGGCTGAATTTCTGCTCAAAATCGAAATGACGTCACCA